GAGGCCCCTGCCAAGAAGCCTGCTGCCCAGAAGGCCGCCACCAAGAAGACCGTTGCTAAGAAGGCCGCTGCTGAGGAATCTAGCTCCAGCGACTCTGACTCTAGTGAGGATGAGGCCCCTGCCAAGAAGCCTGCTGCTAAGAAGGCCGCTGCGAAGAAGGCCGCTGCTGAGGAGTCTAGCTCTAGCGACTCTGATTCGGACGAGGAGATGGAGGACGCCAAGCCGGCAGCCAAGAAGGTCGCTGCTAAGAAGGCTGAGGAGTCCGACTCTAGCGATAGTGACAGTGATGATGAGGAGGAGGAAGCCCCCAAGAAGGTGAAGGCCGCTGCTGCCGCTGAGGAGGAAGAGAGTGAGGATTCTGGTAGGTGTGGAGGTCCCCTTCTTGCTAGTGATGGATTGTCTCTTTGTGTCAGATGATGAGATGGAGCAAGCCCCCACTGGCAAGCGTGCTGCTTCTGAGGCCACTACTGAGGAGGACGAGGCTCCCGCTCCGAAGAGGGCCAAGATGAACGACGGTTCCGCCCAGGAGTCTGTCGAAAGGTCCAAGTCTGTGTTCATTGGCAACTTGCCTTTCTCTATGACAAAGGAGTGGCTCGAGCAGATCTTCAGCTGGTGTGGTGACATTGAAAGAGTGAGCATCCCCACTGACTGGGAGAGCGGCAAGATCAAGGGTTTTGCTTTCCTCGACTTTGCTGATGAGGACTCCGCTGAGAAGGCTGTCGGCAAGAATGGTGAGGACTGTGAGGGCCGCGACTTGCGTATCAACTACAGCTTCCCCAAGAATGACAATGCCCATGGTGGTAAGGGCAAGGGCGGCAAGGGTAAGGGCAAGGGCCATCATGAGCTCGGCGAGAAGTCTGCCTCGGTGTTTGTCGGTAACTTGCCTTGGTCCATGACCCAGGACTGGCTTTATGAGGTCTTCGGTGACTGCGGAAGCATCACTCGTTGCTTTATGCCTACTGATAGGGAGACTGGCAATCCCCGTGGTTTCGCCTATATCGATTTTGACACTGAGGACTCTGCTGAGAATGCTACTAAGCTTAGTGGCACTG